ACCGGATTAAAAAAAAAAAAAAAAAAAAAAAAACCTCGCACGGGGCCCCTAGCGTACGAGTTGCGTACAAGTACAAGTGTACGAATCCGTACTCGTACGAGGGTGCGTACAAGTGGCAACGCAGGGGAAAGGTGACGTCACTACCGTAATGGTCAACAAGGGAGGTCATACTCAATGGAAGAAGAAAAAAAGATCATGCTTGTTTCCCGAGCATCCTGGCATTGCGTTCGTGAGGCCTTGGGAGAAAATGAATATGACGTGAGAGGCTGTGTGTCCGAAACTCGATTCAACGGGGGTTTCCCAGTGAAAGGTTCAACGGTCGTTGAACCCCCGTTACAACGCCGCGCTATACCGCATCAGAACGCGATACAACGCGGCCCGCAAAAAGTTTTTCGCAGGCAAAAAATAATCAAAAAAACAAAAAACAAATATGGGGGTGTAGATTTTTTTGCGCTCTACATCCTCATATTTTTATTTTTATTTTTTGAGCATTTAAATTATTTTTAAAAAATCAAAAACATAACCAGACTCAAAACACATCGATTTTTTTTATTATTTTTTTTTATTGATTGATTGATTGATTGGTTGATTGGTGGGGGATGAGTCGTCCCCCCCATCCCCACCCAATCTCACACACACACACACACACACACACACACACACACACGCACACACACACACACACACACACACACACACACACTCAGTACCTTAGCTTAATGTATGAATAGGAAGTCGGATGGAGGGTCCATGCACCCACGCGGAACACTCATGCGCACCCCCCAAAAAAATTATATTTTTTAAGGAGGAATTTACTGCGTGCCTTGTGCGGCCCCCCCGGGAAGGGCTGATTGGGTGCTGCTGACTGCAATTTATTGCAAAGATTGTTTTATGAGCCTCTACAGTGGGGATAGTTACAATGATGGCCCATGTGACGCTAAGTCACCTTGGAAATGTGGGGCCCCCCATGTCCTCTCGGGAGGTTTTTCACACGGGTGGTCTGACGCCGACGGTCCGAGTTGTATGCATAATGACTCCCTAAGCATGCGGCCCGATATCCTTTATATGCGCCTACCGGCTGCTGCTGATGGCCTCTTTGGTTGCTGCGCCACCACTTGAGTGCATATGCCACCGACCGGGGTTACCAGCCTGGGCTCTTCTCGGGTTGTGCGCCCATCCTCGGCCGATGACGGGTGGTGGGGTGCGACGTGGTGATTGGTGTGTTTTTCGACATCGGGGAATGGTTGATGCTGATAGGGTGGCGTGCTGCTGTCATGGAGGAGATGTCGGGGATGACTGACTGTGCCTCTGGGGAAGGAGTAGCGCTTGCCTGGTAGATAGCCGAGAGTGATGTTGTGCGTCGGTACGGCAGCATTGGTGCCTATGCGCACGGAGGAGGGACGACTTGTGTAGCGATTGATCTGACAAGGGCTGGCTGTGTAGTCGTCATGCGTCGTGCTTCGTGTTTGGCCTGAGCTTGTTTGGTGAAAGGAGGGAGTAGCTTATCGTTGTGCAGCGGTGTTAGAGGGTTTCCCTATGGATGGAAGCATGGGAATGAGTGATTGTTCTCCTTCCCCGTCCCGTATGTTAATCCCGTTCCCCCTCCCAAAGTCCTT